CCTCCTTCTACCTCCTTCCACCTCAACAGTGCATTCCCCCATCATTAGGCTGCTCCCCAGCCTTCCATAAGGCATTTACCAGATGAAATCACATCCTAGACTTGAGATTGAAATTCTCATTCAAACAGAGTCTTTGGCAATGAGAACATGTCAGTAAGTTAAGCTTTCTCATTATAGGTGGGTAGAGTCCTGTCACTTCTTCATAAGAAAAAAAATCATCTTAACTTAGTTACTTTTAAAATGGAAGATTTCCTTCTCTTCCTGCTTCCTTCCTCCCCATCCCACCCCAGAATATTTTTTTGTTGTTGGAAAAGTAACCACTAGAAAGTCAGGCTGCAAAACACCCATGGCTTTTTTCCCTACCCGAGGAGAAGCGCAGGAACTCTACCCTGATTCTGTATATAGGAAGGCAAAGAGTCACACCCAGTCCCCCACATCACTCGCCCACATGCCATTCTGTTCTATCAAAATAGAGATGGCAGAAGTGCCATCTTCCGCCCAATCTATGAACTGGTGTGAAAACATAAGCCCATGTATGCAAAAAACCTGACAGTTTCAGAAGGTTCAGTACCAGAGTGTGTGTTTCTGAGAGGAAGCTGAGACCCTGGAGAAATAAGCATGCAACTTGGATGTATCACATGTTTTCTACTCTTGGAGAATTTGACTGGTTTAAGAAACTCTCAAGGGCAAAATTCTCTTTGAAAGCAAACACTTAAAAAAATGGGATACTAAAAATTACTTCCCAATCAGGATTCCAAATCACAGAAAATTATCGCAAAAAAAAAAAAATAAAGTGTTGACATTTCAGATGCGTTGACATATAATTCTAACTAGTTTTGGCTCCTTGAAGTTCTGGATAAAGATTTCTGATGCCTTCCCCAAATCTATATCTATATATCTATCTATATATTTAAAGCTATAAGAAGTACAGAGAAAAACTTGATTACTTAAAGATTAGAGAACAATAACTTTTAAAATCAATTATATTGAGTTCAATAAAGTACTGAGTTAATTTTTAATTTGTTATTCTACGGTGAATTTTAAACATCCGTTGAATTAAAAAGCAAAATTATCATCATATTTATTATTATTGAAATTGCTATTCTCAACACAAAGTTCTTAGAAGTCTCATTGTTTAAGTACTACATCCAATTTTTAACTATAATTAGGTCCCAATAAACAGATAAGCTGGCATCAACATGGACCCTCAATTACTTTACGCACATGCAAATTTTCATGTGAGTGCAAGAGACTATTGTAAATCACTGTGCTTATCTCTCAAGTTCTCTCTAGATTTTTAACTTTTTAAAGAAGAGAATGGATAAAAGGTCCTATTTAATATCAGAATAAGATCATAAATGTATTCAATCTTGAACAGATCTTTATTAATTATAATTTAATAAAAATTAAACGAAAAATTCAATTCATTGACGTTGCAATGCAGTGAACACTTTTACGTTGCTGGAAGCTAAACAATCTATGTGAACACATTTCCCCATGTCCTATTCTACTGAAAACACTTTAGGGCTTCCCCAATTTACAGAAGAATGTCCACACCCTTGGAATGACACACAAGGGCCTCTGTGACCCAGTCCCTGCCTTGGCTTTTGCTCATCTATATTTGTGCCCCAGTGGCACCAAACTGCTGGTTTACCCTCCACATTGACGTCATTTCTTACTTTCGTGGGATTCTGTCTTTCCTGTCCTCCAGTCTTTGCCTGGCTCATATTATTCATTTCAACACTCACCTCTTCCAGGAAACCTTCCCTGGTCAGCCCAGGTTGGACTTCATGTCCTTCCCAGCGCTTCCGCCTTTATCTCCCAATCACCAGCCTTCCCATTTCATCATGCCGGCTGTTTCACTACTGCTTTAGGGATTTATTTTTCCACTAGACCTCGGGTGTCTTACGGATGAGGCGTCTGTGTTGTTCATCTTACAATCCCCTATTTCCATTAGCTTTCTTATTGCATTAATCAGTGCAGACAATAGGATAGCCAAGGACTTTTTTTCCTAGTTGTAGAGTAGAACTTTTTGCAAAGGTGTTCTGGAGACAGCAGATAAAAAGTGACTCTAATGGCTGTAGCGTATTGAGCAGGGAGTTTAAGGGGCATAGGACGGTGATGACAGGGTGTACCGGTTGGAAAGTTGTTGAAGACATGCACGTTAGGGCAGAAAGTATTAAACAGGGGAAAGCACTGGAACAGGAATCAAGAAAGGCGCGTATGTCCCTCACCTGGCCACAAACCAACCATGTATCCTATGGCAATGTGCTTCAATTCCTCAGTGATCAGACAGCCTCTAAATAGAGTGACCACCAAGCCCAGGTGGCCCGAGATGATCCCTGCCTATGCCTGTCTGTGCCAGTGTTCATCAGGTTTAATATTGTCTAGCCTTGGGCACTCAGTTGTCTCGTTCCCCTACCTGTGAGTCTCTCTCCAGATCTTCGGTTCTGGAAACTTATAGTCACGTATTCTGTCCTGCCAGAGCTAAGCCTACATTTTCTCTCCTTCCACAGCCTGAGTCCTCTTCAGTAAGAGCAGAAATTCAAATGAATGCTTCAGGGAGGCAGTCAGGGACTGAGGTTAGAGGACAAGTATGGTGCCAAACTGCCTCAGTTTCTGTCTTGGCCCTGCCACTTGTACCTGTGAGACTGGGCAAGACACTGAAGGTCTCTGTGCCTTAGCTTTCTCTTGTCCCATTGGAGGCAATGCTGGTGGCCTCTTCCGGGGCTCACGGAGAACCTCAGATGACTTGCTGAGCATCTAGAGCCTACAGCAGGGCCTGGCATACAGAATTAGTCACCACTGCTGTTCACCTTATTCCCCTCATTCTCCCCTTCAAGTTGATGCATAAATTACCAATTTCCCAGCTCAAAGTGATTAAAAGTAATAGCCACCTGACAGCAGATGGACAGAGATGATGCACATCCTCAGGAACTTACAGTGAAAAGGAGATCAGGCTAATAGGGGCTACAATTTGTTGGAATCTCTGATTCTGAAATCCTGAGACATAATAGGAATCTCTTCTTCCAGGGACCTGATTCGAAGTCACCAGTCAAGCACCAAGTGGTCAAGAATACTAGGCGAGGCCAGCCCGCAGGCGGTGGCTCACGCCTATAATCCCAACACTTTGGGAGGCCAAGGTGGACAGATCATAAAGTCAAGAGATCGAGACCATCCTGGCCAACATGGTGAAACCCCATCTCTACTAAAAATACAAAAATTAGCTGGGCATGGGTGGTGTGCACCCGTAGTCCCAGCTACTCTGGAGGCTGAGGCAGGAGAATAGCTTGAACCTGAGAGGCAGAGGTTACAGTGAGCCAAGATCGCACTATTGCACTCCAGCCTGGGAAACAAGAGCAAACCTCCATCTCAAAAAAAAAAAAAAAAACGAGATCATCTTGGGGAACCTGGAGACCTTGTTAAAATGTAGATTCTGGTTCAGTGGATCTGGGATGCAGTTTGAGATTCTGCTCTTCTAACACATACTTCAGACATACTGATGCTACTGGGATGAGGACATCTCAGGACCCTGGACTTCTCCCAGTGTGGATAATTCTGTCTACATGCAACGTTGTGCAGTGTGGTGCTCTCCTGAGTGTGGTGCTAGACTGAGAAGGGTGTTGGTGGTGATGGTCAAAGTTGCTGAACATCTACTCACTTCCTCCCTCCTCCTGTGCCACATCAGCGGGTGAATCTGGACAGGACAGCAAGAAGGACAGCACTACGAAATGATACTGGGAATCACATGTTAATTTGGAAAGTGCATGATGAGGTCCTCCCAGGGCACGCAGTTGCAGGGAACTGGATTTGAGCATCAGGGGGGCACATGCTGTCATGGCCCACAGGAAGGTCCTTTTTTTTTTTTTTTTTTTTTGAGACAGAGTTTCACTCTTGTTACCCAGGCTGGAGTGCAATGGCGCGATCTCGGCTCACCGCAACCTCCGCCTCCTAGGTTCAGGCAATTCTCCTGTCTCAGCCTCCTGAGTAGCTGGGATTACAGGCACGCACCACCATGCCCAGCTAATTTTTTGTAGTTTTTAGTAGAGACGGGGTTTCACCATGTTGACCAGGATGGTCTTGATCTCTTGACCTCGTGAGCCACTGCGCCCAACCAGGAAGGTCCTTTAAGAAGTCACTGAGCCTCAGAAAACTCTCAAGAGGCCGCAGGGCCACCCGGCCTGACCTGCCACCATCTCACTCCCCGCCCTGTGCTAGCCTTTCTGTGTCATGGGGCAGAGGGTTGGGCAAGCACACAGTCACTTACTGGGACCAGTCATCCACCCTGAAAGATTCCATTTCTACTTTTTGGGGGGAGTTAGATGGAATAGATGGAACATTGACTTCAAACCATGGTAGAAGCAGGTGGGGGACGCTGTCTCTGGCAGGACATTGAGGGCTTGCCCCACCATGACCATGACCGAACATCCAGCATGCCCGGGCAGGTTCTCCTCCACATTGACTGGGGGCCAGAGGCGATCAGGGCATCATTAAAGGCTCCCTTCTCTGCCCCTTAAGTGCTTAATTTTCTTTTTTGCTTCTTAATGACTGATAGGACACAAGGATGCTGACATCAGGTCACAAGCCCCTCAGGAAGAGAAAACCCACAAAAGATACGGGGCACAGAAGGCGGATAAGCATCTCTAGGCCCAAATGGCAGGGCCTCTGCTATGTAGGGTGGCTGGAGAGACAGTCAGCTTACCAGGACCTGCGATCCCTCTCCCTATGCCCCCGAGGAACACATGCCAGGTGTCATGCTGCCCTTTGTCAGGGCCCCCAAGACCACAGGTCCTTCTCATCCTAAGGACAGACTGTAAGCTGAAGATTCCAGTCTGGCCAAGCGGCGCTGTGACTGTGTCTTAGACAAAATGACATTGAAGCCTTCTTTTGATATTATTTGCCATAGACCAGGGTTTTTATAAGGAGATTTTCTTGATGAAAGCTGCCTAGAGGCCGTCTAGTTCACCTTGTTTTATTCATGAAGGGATTAGATGAGGTTTGTCTTATTAACTCTGCTTATTCCATAACAAAAGAATTGTATCATGTGAGACTCCACAGGTACTTCTAAAGCATGGTCCCGCTGGGGTAGCATTTAGTCAATAACAGAAATTTATGTCCATTTTGCCTTTCTTGTCCTAACATCATCTCCCTAAACTCAAAAAAGGGCCCACTCTGGATTAGCATTCCTCCCTCTTCCTCAGCCTCTTTCCCACAGGAGTTTCTCCAGCCAGCCCTCAGATCCTTCTCCTCCCTGGACCTCTGCAGCGTGGACGTAGGATTGTCAGCAGCCAGACCTCATTTCCCTAACACCCGCTATCCCCCAGTCATCTGCCTTCCTGCCCTTTTCTGAGTCAGCGCACCGAAACCAGGCAGATGTTCTTCAAATTTTCAATTCCTCCTATTTGTTTTTGTGGTTGTCGATACATAGGTGTAAATCTGTGGGAAGACTATGTTTTTATTTATCCTGAGTTCTAACTATTGGAATAATAAGGTATACAATTATATATGGTATCCATGGTGGTGTTGATTGAAACAGTAATTTCTTTGCCATGCTGGCAGAAAACGTTCAGATCTTGCAAAGATGGAGGCTAGAATTCATTGGAATCTCTGCTTCTGAAATCCTAAGACACAGCTGGAATCTCTGCTTCCAGTGGCCCACTTGCAAGTCACCAGCCAAGCATACCAGGAAACATATCAGGGCTATAAAAATATTTCTAGCCCTTGGTACTATCTGACAGAGGATAAAGGAATAAAACAAGGCAGGGATGAATCTAACTTCCTAGCTGCCAACTAGGATAATTTCGACTGGGAAAAATCCTCTCAATCAAGAAGAGATTTATAATAAACATAATTTTCCAATTACAACTTGAAATCCATTTTGCAAATTTGGTTTGGGTAGGATATATAATCTATTATTAAGTCAACAGTTTCCTTATTTCCAGCTATGCACTATAGAAACGTCATCAGCAGGCCGGGCACGGTGGCTCACATCTGTAATCTCAGCACTTTGGGAGGACGAGGTGGGTGGATCACTTGAGCTCAGGAGTTCAAGAGCAGCCTGGCTAACATGGTGAAACCCCATCTCTACTAAAAACAAAACAAACAAAAAAAAATAGCTGAGTGTGGTGATGCACACCTATAGTCCCAGATACTTAAGGAGACTGAGGTGGAAGAATTGCTTGAACCCGGGAGGTGGATGTTGCAGTGAGCTGAGATCACACCACCGCATTCCAGCCTGGGGAACAGAGCAAGACCCTGTCTCAAAAAAAGAAAAAGAAAGCATGACAAGAGAGAAATTTCAAAGGATGAAAGAAGCCTAGAAACTGCTTAGCTCTGTAAGAATTCAGGACTAAGACCCCACTTGCATTCTCACCTGCTAGAAGCAAATAGAAACATGATTTTTGCGATGTTCACGCCATGTGAGTCCCTACAGAACAAAATGACTGTAGGAGCACCACAGAGACCTTTCTGTGGACAGTGCGTTCTCTAGCACATGGATGGGTATGTGGGCATTTCTCAGTGTTCATCCTAGCTACTTGGTTTTGGACAGAGGACTCTAATCCAGTGGAAGGAGCCACCTGCTCTCCTCCCCCAGCAGAGCTTCACACCACCACTTCTGCTCCTGGGTGGTTTTTCTCCAAAGCTTTGTGTTCTGCTTCTACAACAGAGAAAGGAGTCTTCAGTCCTTGACACCTGGGTGGAAGGACTGAGGTTATGATGACAGTTAGGCTCGAGGGCCTGAGTGAGGATTGGTAAACAACATGTATAAAAGAAAGTTTTAGGAAACAATAATAAAAATAAAAATAAAAGTTTAAGGAACCGTCAGCGTGACTGCAGGAGGTAGAAATTTGAGAAGTTTATATTGTCCCTCTTGGATGTGAGCTGGTTATTTAATTGAAAAAGAATTCATTAAAGGCCCAGATACTCTACAGAAAGAGGAGGTACTGTGCTCATACTTACAGACCTAATGTAGAGACTGCCTAACTAGGGAAGAGAGAACTCACATCAAACATGGAAAATAAGGCTAAGCGTGGTGGCTCTTGCCTGTACTCCTAGCACTTTGGGAGGTTGAGATGGGAGGATCTCTTAAGGTGAGGCCAGGGGTTCAAGATCATCCTGAGCAACATAGCGAGACCCCATGATCTAATAAAAAAGTGGAAAAAAAAAAAGAAAGAAAAGGGTTAGCTGGGCATGGTGGTGTAAACATATAGTCCCAACTAGTCAGGAGACTGAAGTTGAAGAATTACTCCAGTCCAGGAGTTCAAGGCTGCAGTGAGCTGTGATTGTGCCACCATACGCCAGCCTGGGCAACAGCATGAGAACTTGTCTCAGAAGAAACGAAAACAAAACAGAAGAGAATGAAGTAGACATACCAATGAAAACAACGTGAAGCCCATAAAACTTGATAAACAGTAAGTCTTGGCGGAAGTGACTGGGGTAGTCTAGACTGACGAGGAGCAGATGAAGGAGAGCTTTGATCTTGAACATTTTGCATGAGATGAACACAAGGACAGCTGTGAGGACGGTGTGATCAAGAGGTGGCCATCCTGGGAAATCAGTGCGATTAAGGGACCACAAACAGGACTTCAAGTCACCAGTCATGATAGCCTCTAAGAAGTGGAGTTCCAGCAGAATGGAATTAGTATAAATATCTAACGTTTACCGTTAAGGGTAGAATTGACGAAGGTGGCAGGGTTTGTAGGGTGAACCACGGAATTAGGAGCACAGGTTTGCTGCAGGAATACCAAATCAGAACTACCGGGGCTCTAAGCTCTGGAACGGAGAAGACACTGAATTGAGAAAAGTTTTTAAAGTAGGATTGGTAGTATTTGGCAACAAGCACAAAGGATAATGAGCTAATGAAATTTCATAAATTGCAGAGCTTACAGAAAGATTTATGATCATTAAATACGGAGTACCAACTTGTTGGCTGAATAGAAGTCATTCTACAAATCTAATGCTATAATTTCAGTAGAATAATGCCCCTCTAATGAGCTTACTAAAACCTCATCCATATGCCAGTACTTTTCCACCAGGCTGATGAATTCATTTGCTAAGAGGTCATAGAACGACCCCAATTAGGTGAACATCTACCCTTCTATTTATTCTCCAATTTGATGTGGTCTCTTCATCTCCATCCTCAAAGTCTCAGAGTTTGCTGATGGATTGTGTGTAGCCTGCAAACACTCACTCAAAGCCACAGCAATACGCCTCCTCTTAGCTATGCAGAGCACCTGAAGGCAAACGGTGTCATGGGTGCCTGGCTAACTGTGAGCCCAGCACCGAGGGAGGAGGGCAGAGATGTTCTCTGCCCTTGTAGTCGTGGCAGCTGTTTGTCACAACTCCTTCAACTGTATCTTGTCACCTTGGGAAAAGCCTGTTCGACTTTCCACAGCCCCAAGTCAGGGTGAATCTCTACCCACAACAAAAATACCCACTAGGGAAAGCTGAAGCCTGAGGTCTCTCTCTGTTCTTGTTTGTACAGGTGACATGGTGCAGCCACGGAAGAAGAGGAAGTGATCGCACACCATTTTCCCAGAACCAAGGAGGAAGAAAACACAAGAGATTTTTCTCATCTTTTTTTTTTTTTTCTGGTGGGGAGAGGTGGTGGAGCAACATAGGAAGGTAGGAGTGACAGGGAGTGATAATTAAATTTCATATGAGAGTCGTGAAGGTAGCTTAACTTGAGAACTCTTGGTTTATGAAAAGTTGACTACACATGCCAAAAACAACTCCTGCCATCTCAGAATTAATTACCTTTGTCTGACTTTCATGGAGGATGGTCTCTGGTTAAAATCTAGGCAAAAGCCAAAAAACCTCACATAAACTTGGTGTTAGAGAACATCTAGAGAGAGATAAAGGGGAACTTAAACCCTTCGGTTTACAGAGGAGGATGCTGAGGATGTAGATGAGAAGTTACCTATACAAGGCAAAAGGGCTACTTAGCGTCAGAGCCAGGACAACGACTTCTGTCTCCCAGATCTCCTAGCTACCAGTCCTGGGCCATTTTTTTTTTAATAATCCCAGCTTTTCTTTAAAAAACAGGCATTTCAGTAAGCTGATTATTTTCATGGATTGCTCATCTATTTTTTTTCAATAATCTAAAAATGAAGGGAGGTGGCTGGTACTGAAGCTGTCTACTTGAGATAATAGCAAATTAATTGGAGGCAATGAGAAAGTAAGTTATAAAAAATAGTGGGAAATGTGTTTCTCTTCTGAGCAAGCATTCAGGGCAGGTATAAACATCCAACATAGTGACATTGTCAAAACCTCTTCCATTTGAACATTAATTAATTCATCAAATAAATGGTGTATTAATACATTCTACTTGCAGAAGAATCTGGATGGGAAGTGATATAATTATGAGGGCTGTTGAGACTGCTTTGCTACAAAGCACTTTTCTGAATTAGTGTGTGGTTTAATAAAGCTGATTTTCAGATGCTTAACAAGGATTCATAATCCCTGCTGTGATTCTCCTAGTGGTATTTTCCTGGCTTATATTTGTGGGTACATTTTTTAAAGAACAGAAATGGCAAATGTCTATTGGTAGGTAAACATATCTGAGTCTACTAGTATGTCACCAGGCTCATACGGGTTGGGGTGTGGACACGAAAGTAAACTGTACTTGGACTTCCTAACCTAACATTATATAGGAGAAATGTGGTAAAAAGGAGCAAGAGTGGTCTTGAAGGATTACGGAAGAGGGAAGAATATCTCAGGGAGGAAGGTGGCCAAAGGGAAGACCAGGACAGGTACCAAGAAACCTGCTTAATCTCCACTCCTTTTTCTACTGCTCTGTTCATATGAGCCTCCAGTCTTTTCTGTATGGAGCTGGGAATACCACCTCTTTCCCCACACCTACTGCTGCCTTTTCACTGCTCCAAGCACCTGGTCTCAGCAGGAGGCCAGAAGCAGTTGCCACAGTGGAAATTCCCCAAATGTGAAGCCCTCAGGGGATCACCCAAATTTTCCACTCCCCAAAGGTGACTCGGGCTGCATAACTCCCAGTCATAGTAAGCTCTCTGTGGCTTTACTGGCCCTAAGACCAAATTAAACCTTGATTGCAGCATGCCTGGCTATCGTGCAATATCTCTCCCAACACTAGAGCAACAAAACACTAACACACTGATTAAACATTTATTAAAAGGTATATGGTATTTGCAGATTACATAGCGCTATGGTAGGCCCTTATTAGAAAATGACAACTATAGAAACCACATGATGATACCAGCAATATTTGTATAGTGTCAAGTAATTTATCATCACTCTCACTTATTCTAGCCCACGGAAACTTTGTAAGTAGGAGATGAGTTACGTTTTCATTTTACAAATGAGCAGACTGAGTTTCTGATGGCGGCATGCTGGGAAATATTTAACAACCCACTCTCTGGGGGAAAAGATGTCAAGCTCTGATTGATAATGTGTGCCCATGTCCACCGTGTAAACACTCTCCCCCCAGCCTTTGTCAAGTCCTCGAGAGCCTGTGCAAACTGGCCCCAGCACACCTCTGTGTTCAGAGCAGGGAAATGCCAAGTCCAAGGTCACACAGATAGTTGATTCCTGAGCCCACTTTCCTTCCTCTTTTTTATAGAGCAAAGCAGTACTGGATCATCCAAAAACCTTTATTTAAAAAACAAAACAAAAATGTGTCCACATCTTGCAGAGCTGGACAAAAGAAGGTGGTCAGGAGACCCCAAACTGGTGGAAGCTATCCCCATGGCAGGAGGAGGAAGGACACCTCCACCACTACCCCATGGACTGGCCTGTACTCAAGCGTCTGTTCCGGTGTTGCTGTCTCACATTGGAAACCAATTTTGAATTTGGGTAGAAGACTTGTTGCCTAAACAATTCCTTAACCCCATCCTCTCCCCAGAAGGCTTCTACATTTCTGAAGCTATTTTCAGCTCCTCTGCACCTACTCACTTGCAATACTTGTCATAACAGGAAGCCAGTTTCATATACTGTAATCCCCAAACACATTGCACCCACACGTGGGGAGCGTGAGGGGCTGAGTGAGGAGCGAGGAGGCCAGGCCTTCCGGAAACTGGAGGGGCTGAGCACTGAGCCGGTCCCAAGGTGGGGTGTCCCCCTCCCAAGCCCAGGATCCAGGAACCAGAATCCACATCCAGGCATTCTTATTTTCCTTTCTCAAGCAGTTGCTGGTGACTTTTTTTTTTTTTTTTTAATAAAGCATTTGAGTAGGCAGCAAAGCCAGTCAGAACTGTTTATTTATAGCTGTGGATTTTCAATGCTGTATAAATTAGAAATCGTTGCTGAATGAGGCCCGCGCCCACTCACACACGCAGGGCCGCTATCTGTGAGTCCTTTCACAGGGTTTGACTGTACACAGTCTAAAATGGGAGAAAATGACATGCTCCGAGTCAAATGACGGAGTCACAGCTAAACGGCAAAGCAGAAAACCAGCAATTATTTTTCCTCAGCACAATATGGGGAGTACGACAGGTGCAATTATCCAATATTATTTAACAGTACCGGTTTGTGGTGTAGGGAGAAAATAAAGGTTTCCGTGTCTTGGAGAGGAAAAAAAGAGAAAGAACCTGCCTTGCAGCTCCCGTTTCTGTGGATTAAGCTGGTTATGTACATGGAAACTGGCCAGGATTCCAGAAGGGGAAGGAGGAACCACCCAGCTCCCTGGCCCTTCCTCCCGGGAGGCTCGCAAGCAGCAGGACCACAGGGGCTTCTGAGAAAAGGTGCCCAGCCTTGGGACACTGTGGCCTGAACACCCTTTTCCCCAAGCAGTGGCTCCAGGTAAGGCTGCGGGAAACGCTGGGTTTGCTGAGCCCCTGTCCACTTAGAGAGAAACCTCTCTCCTGCTTTTGACTCTGTTTCCCTCCTTTGAACTACAATGAGGTCAAGGAGCACGTGATGAGAAGATGGTCCACAAGGAATAAATTCCAGTCCCTTAACCAGCTCCCCTTCCCACATCCAGCACATTTTTATTCCTCCTCCCAAACCTTTGCTTAAACCGTTCACACTCCCTGGAAAGACCCCTCTTCTAGCTACTGTGGAATAAATAAGTCATCCTCCATGGCTTCAGACCTCGCTGGAGTGCCACTTCCCAGCTCTCTGAAAAAGCTTTTCCTTGCCCGTCCAGGGCACTGGGCCTGCTGTCTACTCTTAACTCCGCAACAGCAGTCCACATCAGCTCTGCACACGATGCCATCGCTCTCTCCTTCACCTATCCCCCTTGACTTCAGTTTCTGGAATGGTATGGAAAGAATTAAAGTTGTATTCAAAAGTCTTACTGAGGACTACACACCAAGGCCTACCGGTAGCCGGGAACAGGCTTTCAGAGAGATCCTATAAGGCTGCTCCGGCCGAAGCCTTCACCCCACTGCTTATATAGAGGAAGTGGAGGTTCAGCACCTGCAGTCACATCAAACTTGCTCAGAAGTTACATCGCAGCAGAATCCCATCAAGGCTTGGATGTAAGAATGCACCTGGTTGTAGATTACAGAGGCATAAACACTAACCCTGTTCAAGGTTTCGTCTTCAAAGCATCTTTCCAAAGAGCTGCACATATTCACAGCTGGGGACTTTTGTGAAATTCAGCTGGCAAGCAGAAGTGAGCAAAAGGGGCTTCTCACATTTGCTCCTTTTTCTCACAACTGGAAAGAACAGAGGCTTCAGAACCAGACTAGATCTGAGTTCAAATTCTGACTCCATGGCTGGCTATCTGTATTGAACCTAGAGAAAATTAGTTACCTTTTAGAAAAAATTATTATTCATTTCTTTGTTTAAAAATGTGTAGCAACTTCAGCACGTGAATAAGAGGACACAATCTATCCAGAAGGAACTTGAGTATGCCATGTAGCCCGCCAAAGGAACACAAAGGAAGTAAGCATGCCTGGCTCCTTTAAGACCTTAGGCATGCCAGATTTTATTCCAAGTTGCTACTGTCCTAACAGGGGCACTAGTCAGCCCCTTGGAGTGGGACTCACTCTGGACGAAAATAGTTTACTTCTCTGCGCCTTGGTCCTTTGTCTGAAAAGTTAGAGGATGATACCACCACAATTAAATAAGATTATTGCAAGTAGTGGAGGCAAGTGCCTGGCACCCAAGATCTCCATCTGACATAGTTTGGGTGTTGTCTCCTTGAAATCTCAAGTTGAATCATGATCCCCAGTGTTGGAGGTGGGGCCTGATGGGAGGTGTTTGGGTCATGGGAGTGGGTTTCTCATGAATGCTTTTATGCCATCTTGCTAGGGCTGGCCTCGCCATAGTGAGTTCTGGCGAGATCTGGTTGTCTAAAAGTGTGTGGACCTCCTCCCCACGTCTCTCTTATTCTGTTCTCACTATGTAACGTGCCTGCTCTCCCTTCACCTTCTCCCATGAGTGTAAGCTTCGGAAGCTTCCCCAGAAGCCTAGGAGATGCCAGCACCATTCTTCCTGTAAAGCCTGCAGAACTGTAAGCCAATCAAACCTATATATATATATATATATATATATATATATATATATATATA